AGGATCCCCTGGAGCTCCAGTCACAAGGCACTTGTGAGCTGTCTGATTTGGCTTCTGGGAACTGAACTCTGGTCCTCTGCAAGAACAGCAAGTAGCTTAACTGCTGAGCCATTTCTCCAGCTCTTTTCATTCTTAAAAAAAAGTGTATTTTAATTATGCATACAGGTATGCATTTGTGTCCGCAAACATGAGTTCAGGTGTCTGCAGACACCTCTTGCCACCCTGGTGCTGGAGCTCTACACACATGTATGCATTTGTGTCCGCAAACATGAATTCAGGTGTACACAGACCCCTCACCACCCTGGTGCTGGAGCTCTACACAGTTGGGAGTCACCCAATGTGGGTGCTGCATACTGAACATGGGTCCTCTGCAGGTACAGCATGAACTCGTTAGCCACCTCTTTATCCCCTTTTATTTTTTGAGACCGTGTGTCATGTAGCCCAGGCTGGCTTGGAATATGCTACTTAGCCAAATGTGTTTATTAGTCTTCATTGCCAACTTCAGTAGACTTAGAATCACCATGGACACTCACCTCTGGGTGTGTCAATGAGCGTTATTTCCAGAAAGGTTTAGATAAGTAGGAAGGGCTGACCCTGAATATAAACAGCAGCATCTCCTGGACTGTGTTCCAGGACTTAATAAAATGGAGAGAGCAAGTTAAACATCTGTCTGCTTCATGACTGTTACAGTCGATCAGCTGCCTTCCCCCCACCCCGCCTTCACAGCCACCTTGATGCCCCAAACCGTGAGCCAAAACAAACCCCTCATTCCTTAAGCTGCTTTTTGCCAAGTATCCAGTAGTGAGAAAAGTAACAAATCCAGAAAACTGGTACTGCTAAGTAAGACTGTTGTGGTAAACCTACATACACGGTCTTGGGCCTGTGGAAATTATTTTCAGGGGGAATAAGAGTCTGGAACTATGGGCTAGAATGCTGGAAGCGGAGCTGAAGTGGCTGTTCTGGTGAGAACTTAGAAGACCACAATGCCGCGAGGAATGCGGAAGCGAAGGCCCACCTTGAGAGGTTTCAGAAGGGAACACGAACTCTAGAAGCCATTTTTTGAAAATATAAATATAGGTAAAAAAGCGACTGCATTCTACCTCCATCCTGAGAATTTGAATTTGAGTCGGGCTGGATTAAAAATTAATGGTCTAGCCAGGCACATGCCTTTAATCCCAGCACACAGGAGGCATGGACAGGCGGGTCTCTGTGAGTTCGAGGGCAGCCTGGTCTATAGAATGAGCTCCAGGAGAGCTGGGAATACACAGAGAAACCCTGTGAAGAGAAAAACAAAAGATCTGTTTGGCAGAGGAAATGTCAAGACAAGATCGTATTCAGGCTGTCATTTGTCACTGCTTTTGTTCAAGTCCACAGTAGGACAACAAAGGGAGTAAAATATGGAAAAACCTTGTTTGGCAGGGGTGGGGAATTTCAATTTGTAAACAAGTCTGGTGTTGAAACTGCAGCTCTAACTGTGAAAGTAATTAGCACAGTTGAAGAGGAACCTCCTGTACGGCACTGGGCCCACATCCTAGCCAGCAAAGGCCCCATCTTGTGAATATACAAATTGATTGCGAGGAGGGAACCTAACCTAAATAGAAAACAGGGATTCCCTGCTCTAAAACCACCACCTAGGTGCTGAGGCCAGGGTATTACTTGATCTGACTAAATCTAGAACTGGCAGCTTTGCCCACGTGGCCCTGGTTTTATGGGCATGCAAGATCCAAAAGCACTAAGGCATATAGGGTGGTATCATAAAATCTGCCAAGATTCGATGAGGCCAAGAAATGTGTGACAGGGTAGGATTCCTTCTGAGGAGGCAGAGGTTCTTGTGTGGTGGCACTCTGGAGGTGAAGCCTAAACTGCTGTGGAGACCACAGAATAGTGAAGTTATCAGGATAGTGAGGTACCCAGGCCGTGTAAGCGTGATGTAGTGCTGGCCCGAGAGGCTGTGTACTGGCAGGCAGTAGAGCTTGAGGGCTGCGACTAGCCAAAATTTCTGAAGCCCAGATGATTTCATCATGATCCTCAGATGCCTGCCAAGGACCTGCAGATCTGGTGTTTGTTCTGGGTTTTGGCCTTACTCTGCCTAGACCTTTTGTTCCTATGCACCCATCCCTCCCTGTGCTAATGGGAATATTTACCTTGTGTCACAAAATTATTTGTATTTTGACATTGCTTTAGGTCCCAGAAAAGAACACTTAAAGACTATGGAGACTTTTAGAGATGGACTGATGCATTTTGTAGATATGAAAATGGGACTTTTTAATATTTATTATGTATACAATATTCTGTGTGTATGCCTGAAGGCCAGAAGAGGGCACCAGACCTCATTACAGATGGTTGTGAGGCACCATGTGGTTGCCAGGAATTGAACTCAGGACCTTTGGAAGAGCAGGCAATGCTCTTAACCACTGAGCCATCTCTCCAGCCCTGAAAATGGGACTTTAGGGTACAATGTTATGATTTAAAGTGATGTAGTTGACAAAGGGTGGGGCTATGAAGACTAATCTTACCAACTTGACTGAATAATTTATAATCACGACGGAAACACATCTCTTTGGGGGTTGTATATGAGCATGTTTCCAGAAAGCTTTAAGCAGGGAAGACCCACTCTGAATATGAGTGGTACAATCCCATGGCTGGTTCATAGACTGAATAAAAGAAAGCAGAAGTGGCTGGAGAGATGGCTGGCTCGGCAGTTAAGTGTTTACTGCTCTTACTAAAGGTCCCAGACAACAGCTCACAACTCAGCTCCAGGGGATGACACCCTATTTTGACGTTGGTGGGCTCCTACACACGTGGTGCACATATATGTACTCAGGCACTAAAATAGACTCACTAAGTTTTAACGCGGACCTTATACCAACATGAAAATACTCAATTCATTTTGTGTTTGTCGTGCTGGAGCTTGAGTCAGGGCCTCATATACACTAGGCTGGCACTCTATACCTCCTAACCATTTCCCACAGAATTTGTCCATGTTTTCATAGCAGAAATTCGTAATAATAAACAAAGTAATGGGTTTCATCATGATGTTTTCTAGCAAAATATATACTTAGCTTGTCAAGATTTTTTGCAGAAGCTTTTTGTCTTTTTTAAAAACATAGGTATTTTGCCTGTATGGCCTAGAGTTCAGCCCTCCAGCCTCAATTTTCTTCCGAGTGTTATAGCATTAGGGGCCTGTGCCACTATGCTTGGTTGAGCATCAATCTGAAGTATACTTGTTTTCCAAAAAAAAAAAGAACAAAACCCAAAGTATCTATTTCATTGAAAGCATCACCAAATGAAATCTTTTTTTTAAGAAATCAGATTTATGAATTCAGTTATTTGCACACTTATTAGTTCTATTCTTCTGTAAAAAAAAACTTAGCACACATATCTCATCCTTGTAGGTTACATACAGAGTATAGAAAGAGAGCTCTTAGGTGGCATATTCCCACCCCTTATTCTTCTTAGACTAACTTTAAATCAGGTACATGTTTTGTTGAGAACCATTGCATTGATCTGAAGGGACTTCAGATCTTAAGACAACAAGGTACATTGTTTTAAAACCTATATGACCACTACACGAAGCACAGTGCTTTACAAAATTGATATTCACACAAATGCTTGAAATTAATGACAAGAGATTCTTATTTCAGTTCTGATGAGATTACATAAGCCATTCAGTATTTTCAGTCTCATACTAGAATTTTTAGTAGAAAGTATCTACAAAACACGGGGCACATAGATATAAAATTAATGCTTGATTCAGAATTTTGTTTTATTTAAATGTGTTCTTCATGCTACAATACAACCCTTCAGAGTCAATCAAATACATAATGTCAATAGTTCCCTCAAAACTCTTTAAGGCTCACAGCCACAGTTCTAAACCTCTATAAGGCAGCTTCAGTATTCAAAAGATCACAGCACAGTAATTGTGGCATGAAATCCCATTTTTATGCAAACCAAGAGGATCAAACTATCAAAAGCCAGTAACATCATTTAGTATGCATATTTCTTAACTCCTTAAACTTCTTCTCAATGTTGAGAACTTTTTTTTTTAAACCCCCAGTTTTTCAAGACAGGGTTTCTCTGTGATGCCCTGGCTGCCCTGGAACTCACAGAGATCCTCCTACCTCTCTCTGCCTTCATCGTGTTGGGATGAAAGGCTTGCACCACAAAAGCCTGGCCTTTTTTAAAAAAATTAAAACAAAACAAAACACAAAAAACCTTCCGCAGCAATTCTCATGTCAGCTAGAGCTGGAAATCACTGCTCTTGGAGTATCTAATTAAGCAAAAACATGGTTAATTTAAAAGTACAGCACAGGAAAATTGCAGGCACATGGGGGATAGATTTAGAACCAATACACTCTGCTTTTGACACTTTTTCTCTCTTCCAAGGCTCAAAGATTACTAATAGCACAATTTACACCATAATCCTACCAACTAAGGAAAAGTACCATGGCGAGGGGCAGTAGAATGCTTGTTCATCATGCAGGAGACCGTTCCATCCCTAGCTTACTAAAACAAAGACCCCAGAAAACACAACCTGGACAGAACTTTGTCAACTACCATTAATCATCCATTGTTATAATACTATTTGCAAGTGAGGGAAGACTGAGATTTTAGGCATAAGAAAGACACAGTCTCAGGGCACTGGAAGAGGGCAAGAACTTCTGATGCTGGAGTCCTATGGTCCCATCCAGGAAAAAGAGAAGAGGAAAGGTCTGCCCGTGGCAAGGGAGTGAGCACTCAATTTCTAAGAGCCTTGCTCATTTGAGCTCATTGGTCTTCTTTTCCCTTCAAATTTCAGATAACAGAACACCAAATAGGAGGACAACTGTCCCTTACTATGGAGCCCCTCATAGAGGAATCAGGAAAAAAGAGACCATTTTCACTTTGATAGGTTCATGATAGGTGTGCTATAGCAAAGGCTGGTTGTGGTGAAGTTTCACTTCAAATTGCACTGATTGATTTTAGACATGTTTTTGGAATGCTTAACTTCTGCTAAAATGTAGATCTAATCCAATATAGTATATAGTATACCACTTTTCACATTTACTTGTGGGCCCTATTTTCATCACCAAAATATGAGAATAGTCTTACAGCTACTACCAAGGTAATGAGCTATGAAAGTAATTCGCTAGTATTGCTTTGAAAATATACCCTAGGCTAGTAAAAGAAATTCGAACTCCATCCCAAGGCATCGTTTAAATTGGACTCCTCAGTCATCATCTACAGTCGGCTTAATGGTCACTCCTCTTCTTATCTGACCCCAACCAATTAAACTGCAAAATAAAAATAGAAGAAATAATGAGTTGTGTACTACCACACTGGTATCACCACAATCATCTGACAGGTTGCTTTACTTGCCCACCTTCCAAACTCAGATGTGTTCCCAAAGCTGCTTCTTTATAAAGAACGCCCATACTATTTTCTCAGGTTCTAAACAAAACCTGCTGTCATAAATATACTAGTAAGTTGGGTGTGGTAATAAATTCAAGCATTTGGGAGACAGGAAAATTAGTTCACAGCTATATAGTAAGTTCGAGGTTAACCCAGGTGAGAGGCTCTCCCACCTTAAACAAAAATTGCCGGCTGTAGTGGCACAATGCCAGCAGAGGAAGGCAGATCGGTGTTCAAGGACAGCCTGATCTAAAAGTGAGACCCTGTCTCAAAGAGAAATAAAACCTAAGGGCTGGAGAGATGGCTCAATGAATGGTTAAGAGCACTCACTGCTCTTGCAGAGGGCCTGGGTTCAGCTCCTAGTAGCCATATGGTGGCTCACAATCACACAAATCTCAACTTCCTCGGGCACCCGGCACACATGTGGTGCACATACATACATTCAGGCAAACACATAAAGTAAAATTTAAAACAAAAAATACTCCCCAGAAAGGATATATTTGTTTTACTGCTCTAGTCAAAAGAAAAAAGAATCCACCTACCTGTTCAGATGGTACACTCAAATTACATCTCTAATACATTATGTGTTTGTATGTAAACGTGCATGAGTGTGTCTGTCTGTCTCTATATGTGTTTGGTTGTTTTGAAAAGGAGTTTCACTATGTAGTTCTGGATGTACAAAGTTGCTTTGTAAATTAGGCTGCTCTTGAACTCAGAGGTCCACCTGCCTCTGTTTCCCGTGCTGGGGATTAAAGGCCTGTGCCACTACATCCAGCTCAAATTTGAAAACAAATCAAACCCACTTCTCTTTACTTGTCTTTGGGAAATGCTTTCTTTTCACTGACTGCCTCAGTAGATCAATGGGCTTTAAATAACATCATCTGGGAAAATAAAGAGAACCACAGGAACACAGTCTATAAGCAGACTGCTCTCCACCGCAGGGCCTTTGATAGCTCTGGTGATGCACGCCTTTAATCTCAGCACTCAGGAGGCAAAGGCAGATGGATCACTTTGAATTCCAGGCTAGCTTGGTCTGTATAGTGAGTTCCAGAGCAGCCAGGGCTACACAAGGGGTAGTGGTGGTGGTAGAGATAACAAAACGATTAACTTTTGCTAAATTGCAGTTACAATTCAAATCAATTTTAGAGAGCATGCAATGAGAGACAGTATCAAAGAAGGGCTGACAAAGGAAATAAGCAGGAAAGAACAGAGCCAAGGCACAGCGCAATAATTATGAAGAAAACCAGGCTGCAGGATAGTCTAATTTAGACGGTATATTTTTGACAAAACAACAGAAAAGGCTAAATGGACCAAAACTGGCTTCTAGAAAGATCCCAAATATCCACAAGCAGTGACGAGATATTAGAAATTCTTTAGCAAAGCACTATGACAGTGTTTAGAGGATCCCTTCTGCCTGAGCCCTTAAGTAACAACAGATGAAGGAAAGCAGGACTTTGTGTCAAACTACTTGTTTCAAGGCAGGGTTGGTTGCCCTGGCTGTCCTGGGACCAGGCTGATCACATAAATCCACCTGCCTCTGTCTCCTAAGTGCTGGGACTAAAGGCATGCACCACCACTGGCTGGCATGTGTGAAACTCTTAAAAAAAAACTAATTTAAAAAAAGTAAAGTCTTAATCCCAGCACTCAGGAGGCAGAGGCACGCGGATCTCTGTCAGTTCGAGACCAGCCTGGTCTATAAGAGCTAGTTCCAGGACAGGCTCCAAACCCTGTCTCGAAAAACCAAAAAAAAAAAAAAAAAAAAGTAAAGTCCAGGGCTGATAAAAGATGGCTCAACAGATAAATGTACTCATCACCAAGCCTGACTACCTGAGTTTGAACCTCAGAACCCATAGTGGAACAAGAAGTTGTTCTCTGACCTCCATATGTATACTGTGGCACGTGTGTACTTCGATTCATACACACATTAAAAAGAAGATCATTTAAAAAGGGTGCTTGCTGCAAAGTCAGACGACCTGAATTCAATCCCCAGAACCCACATGGCAGCAGAACCAACTCCACAAGTTGTTCTGATTCTTTCTCTCACACACTAAATGAAGGGAACATTATAACTCATTATTTTTTTTATAGGTTACACCTAAAACAAAGGGAAGCCAATTGAAGTATTTGTACTAATATAAAGGAATACAAATCAAGGCTATAATACAGCTTCTAAAACCATTCAAACGAAAAAGTGAGAGCTGAAGCCACACTGTTGTATTCAAGAAGCATGTGTGTGTGTCTCACCAAAATCTTAAGCTGTTTAGACAAAGGTAAACAAACTTACCGCCAATGTTTCTCAACTCTTCGGCTAAGAGCAATTTTTTCTCCTACTTCTGTGCACACAGGATTAGTCAAAACAATCTTGCCCAAATCAGCCTTGACAGCACTAACTCTTCCTCCTGTTGACAGGGATCCTATATTGACCATAAGCACTTCATTCTTAGACAGCTTTTGGACCTAGGAAAGTAAACAAAGGGAAAAACAAATAAGGAAATGGTCTCTGAAGAGTGTGAAGACTTTTAATCCCAGCAGACAGAGCTCTGGGAGTCCGAGGCCAGCCTGCTTTATAAAGAAAGTTCCAGGACAGCAGGGGCTATGTTGAGACCCTGCCTCAAAAACATACCAAAACAAATAGGAGCTGGGCAGTGGTGGCACACACCTTTGATCCCAGCACTCAGAAGGCAGAGGCAGGTGGCTCTCTGTGAGTTTGAGGCCAGCCTGGTCTACAGAACACATTTCAGTACAGCTAGGACTCCAGAGAAACTCTGCCTTGAAAAAACAAAAACAAGACAAACAAATAAAACCCAAACCAACAGTTTTTGTTTCAGTAGGGATTTTTAAAAAAAAAAACACAAAATTGATTGCATGAGAGCTGTTTTTGATTTTTTTCAGGAAGTTAATTTACTTATAAATTAACTACACATTAGCTATAAAAGACCAAAACTCAAAACTGAGTTCAGCATTGTTGTTGGTGTCTTTCTGAAAACGAGTCACACCAAGCACTTACCTTTGCTGCTTTCTTGTCTCCTTCAGTTCGTACACCCAGGAGACGTCTCAGCAGGAAATAGGAAATTTCCAGTTCTGTGAATATTTCAGGTAAAGCTCCAACTGCACCAAGCACTTGTCCCACCATCCTGTCAGCTCTGCACAAAGTGGGGTCGATCTTTGTTCCAACTCCTAATATAAAGCAAGAGTATTTGGCCTTATTTCTTACCTGAAACACCTCTGGAGTGATTTGTTTGAAAGACTAGTTAAACAAGCATAAATCAATACCCCTTTACACATACTTCCGTATTCACACACATAAATTAAGCTTCACAAAATTCCTGCTTTATTTCTATTTCATTCATTCATTGGTTTCTCTATGTAACAGCTCTGGCTGTCCTGGAACTGGCTTTGTAGACCAGGCTAGGCTCAAGTTCAGAGACTCACTCGCTTTTGTCTCCTAAGTACTGGAATTAAAGGTGTGTGCCACCACGGCAGAGCTATTTTTAAGTTATGTGTATATGTATACTATCTGTGTGTGGATCCGTGCCCATAAATGTGGTGCCAGAAGAGGGCACTGACTCTCCTGGAGCTGAGTTCCAGGTGGTTCCGAGCAGCTCTGCCTGAGCAGCGGGCATTCCTCACCACTGAGCCACATCTCCAGTCTTTAGTCCAAGGGTAAATTATGGACTCTCATTCAATCTTGCCCTTTTCTCAGTAATGAAAAAGTTTTAAGAAATTTAAAAACCCTTAAATCAATCCAGCACCTCCTGCATGGTAGAGGTTCTCTTATTTGATGTACCACCACCTTGATCTTTTCCAGCACCTCCTGCATGGTAGAGGTTCTCTTATTTGATGTACCACCACCTTGATCTTTTCCTTTTTTTTTTTTTTGAGACAAGGTCTTACTTGAGAAAGGTCTTATATCTCAAGTCTGGTTATGCTATCCACACTGGTCTCAACTTTCTGTGCTAATGGCAATCCTCCTGCTTCTGACTCCCAAGTATGTGGGACCACAGGTGCTCACTACCACACTTACTAGAAGTTATTTTCTTTCATCGCCACCACAGTATAATTAACATTTTTGAGTAACTTGACACTTATGAAACACACATAAAAGCAACCACTATAACCAAGTGTTTCACCAAATAGTAAACCAGGCACTCACTCTAGTGCAAACCTGTAGTAGTCTCAGCTACTTGAGGACCATTTGAATAAAGAAATTTAAGGCCAGCTTGGGAAATATAGCAAGATAGTAACACAAACCTAAATCCTCAAACTATATCTAACTAGTTGGCTGCTTTGAATGCTAGGGCCGTCAAGCTTATTTTCTGCCAGGCCCGGTGACACAGACCTGAAATTCCAGCTACTGGAGCTAGTGAGGCAGGAAGACCTCAAGTTCTAGCTCAGTCTGGGTAACCTTGTAAGAGCCTTTCTCAAAATGAAAAAGAGTGGGGCTAGAGACATGGCTCAGTGATTGAGAGCACCCACTGGCTACTCTTCCAGAGGACCCAGCTTTCAATTTCCAGCACCCACACAGCAGCTCACAACTGTATATAACTTCAGTCCCAGGGGACCCAATGCCTTCTTCTGGACTTTGAGTACCACACACCCATGTGGTGCGCGCGCGCACACACACGCAAAACACCTATACATAAAAATAAATAAATAGTAATAATTTTAAAAAAAGAAAAAAGAGGGTATATAAGGTATACCTCAGTGGTAGAGACTCTACCTAGCATGTTCTAGACATTAGGTCCAAACCCTAGGACTTCAAAACAAAGTAGTCAGAAATAATTATTGCTATTAAGTATTTAGCCACCAAAACATACCTTAAAAAATATTTTATTATTTGCTTGTATGAGTGGGTGAGCAAACACCTTTACCTGAGTCATACTGCCAGCTCCAAAATGTATTCTTTGTTTCAGTTTTCCAAGATGTACCAATAAGGTCAGGTGTGGTGGTACACCTTGAAGTCTAGCACTTGGAAAGCTGATCCAAGAAAGTTGCTGTGAGTCCTAATATAGCCAAAGATACATGGCAAGACCCTATGTCAAAAATTAAAACAGGATATGGTGGCATACCTTTAACCTCAGCACTCGAGGCAGAGGCAGGTGGATTTTGTGAGTCTGAGGCCAGCCAGACCTATATCGAGAGACCCTACCTCAAACAAAGAAACAACAAACAAACCCCAAACAAACAACCAGAAGGAGGCAGATAGAGAGATGACTCAGCAGTTAAGAACACTTGCTGCTCTTGCAGAAGACCTGGACTTGTTTCCCAGAACTCACAAGGCAGCTCACGATCACTGAAACTCCAGTTGCAAGGGGTCTGACAACCTCTTTGGCGTTCTTGGGTACCAGTACACACAGTGCTCAGATATATATGCAAACAAACTCATACACATAAACAAAACAAACCTTACAATCCATTCTTAATATTTCTTATGAAACATGTCACGAATCTCCACAATTAAGAGATGACAGGGAAATACTTACCAATGAGACCACCTGGGGCGGCATACTGAAGATCATTATGTTCCGCAAACAGTGATACAATTTTGGAAAAGATTGGCTTACACATGAGCTTTCCTTCACTATCTTTGGAAACAATACCCGGTCTTACTTCTATCTCCTGGCCTACCTGTAAACACATAATTAGCAGTGAGAATTACTACAGAACAACATATTTACTATTTACCTACTAATGTTCTCACAAAAAAGACCACAAGAACTAAAAAGGTACTCTTTCCTCTAATTTCAAGATTACCCCTTTTATTTACTTATTATTTTTATTGACCTGCAACTCACTAGGTAGAACATGCTGGCCTTGAACTCAGATACCAAGATACCAGCCTGCTTCTGGCTCCCAGCTGTGCACCACTATGCCAGGTTAAAATTACTTAAAAAGAAATTTTACTGCCAGGCGGTGGTGGCGCACGCCTTTAATCCCAGCACTCGGGAGGCAGAGGCAGGCGGATCTCTGTGAGTTTGAGGCCAGCCTGGTCTACAGGAGCTAGTTCTAGGACATGCTTGATAGCTACTGCAAAACCCTGTCTCAAAAAAAAAAAATTACCTTTTGGTTTATTTGAGCCTGGTCTCTCTGTAGCCCTGGCTGTCCTGGAACTCATACTGTAGACCAGGCTGGCCTCAAACTCAAGAGATCCACCTGCCTCTGCCTCCCAAATGTTTGGTGTGCATCACTACACTCAGCTTTTCTTTTCCCCAGTGGAAAAAAACTGATATAGAGGAGACAGATGGCTCAACAGTTAATAAGCACTTGGTGCTCTTGAAGAGGATCAGAGTTCAGTTCCCAGCAGCCACATGGTAGCTCACAGCCATCTCTAACTCCAGTTTCAGGGGACCAACACCCTCTTCTGGCCTCCATGGACACATGCATATTCGGAGACAAAATACCCTTAAGTATAAAATAAAAAAATCCAAAAAGTTTTAAAAATCAGATCAACTTAACTGTTGCAATTTACTAAGTAAACCTGTTATTATATAAAACACACTCCACCTTCACTAGAGAACTCTAAGTTTAGAGGTCAGACAGCTTTCAAAGACAAAAACAAATCTGTATCCAATACCTGACAACATGAAGAAACATTTTTTAACTGGGTGTAGTGGTGCAGACCTTCAGTTCCAGCACTCTGGGAGGCAGAGGCAAGGGAATCTCTAAGTTCGAGGCCAGCATGCTTAAGACAAGTGCGGGCTGATGAGCTGGCCCAGAGGGTAAAGGTGCTCACCACCATGTCTGAGTTCCATCCCAAGGAGCCACTAGACGGAAGGAGTCAAGCCCTGAAAAGTTGACTTGCTTCCACCTAGGTACTGTAGCACTCGTATATCCACACACAAAACAAACAAATACACAGCACGACAATTCCAAGCCAGTGTACCTTTAAGACTCCTTTCAGAATACTACCACCAGCTACACCTCCCTTAAGGTCATCAACTTCACAGCCAGGTTTGTTGACATCAAATGACCTGATAACTAGAAAAAAAAATGAACACAAATTAAATCCATTTCTCTTTATTTTAGATTCAGAAGACACATTCTTTTAAAACTTAACTTTTCTTAAAAAAATCTAGTATTATTGCTTTAATGCTTATTGAAGCCTTACTTGTGAGAGTAAAAAAATGGAAATAGGCCGGGCAGTGGTGGCGCAGGCCTTTAATCCCAGCACTCGGGAGGCAGAGGCAGGCGGACCTCTGTGAGTTCAAGACCAGCCTGGTCTACAAGAGCTAGTTCCAGGACAGGCTCCAAAACCACAGAGAAACCCTGTCTCGAAAAAAACTAAAAACCAAAAAAAAAAAATTTGAAATAGCCTGAAAGTACATTAAGAGCAAAAGTATTTATGTAATGAGCACAAAAGTCTTTTCTTTCTTTTTGGTGAGGGTCATCATCTCCTATGTCTCATAACTATTTACACAGCGTTTACAATAAATTAGCTATTATGACTTAAGGCATATACAGGACTGGGAGTGTAGATCAGTGGTAAGCCCTTGCCTTGTAGCAGCATCAAAAAAGTCAATCAAGTGCACAGGAGACTGTACATAGACACTCGCAGTACGCCACTTATCTTGTGCTTCTGAGAGGGTGTCTGACTTTGTAGCCCTGGCTGTCCTGGAACTCACTCTGAAGACCAGGCTAGCCTTGAACTCACAGATCCATTTGCCTCTGCCTCCCAAGAGCTGGGATTACAAGTGCACCACCATGCTTAGATTTTTATATATAGGATTTCTGTATTATATGACTTCTACCATATAAAATAACTTTTAAAAAATTATAAAAAGCAATTCTAAGGTCACCCAAGAGAACGTTCCCCAATAATCACACAAACAGCTCCAAATGAAGGCCTGGAAGGGCCCAAACCTGCTTTAAAAGTGTTCCTATATCTTTGAGCATTAACCACAGCCCAGTGAAATTGAACTTAGTGGTTTTTCAGTAATGGTACAATGTCATCATTTGTATGGAACTGTAATGCCCCAACAGGATGTACTTCCCTAGAAACTACGGTATTATTCCATGTTGTCTACTTAAAATACCATATATAAAAGCACAAAGAATTTCTTTTGTACTCAAGGCTCTGTCACCCAGCAATATAAGACATTATTTCAAATAGGTTTTATGGATTTATCACCTCTGCAGAAAGAGAAAGTATTAATAAACAGCCTTGAAGGAGAAGCACTAATGTCGAAGAGTTCAGTTAAATGTGACTCCTGTCACTTACCAATGAGATGGGGCTCTGAAGTAAAGTCTCTTGGGGGCACCGGTATTTTCTTCACTATGTACTCACAGACAACTTCAATATTGTATTTCAGCTGAGCAGAGATTGGAATAATTGGCGCTCCTTCTGCCACTGTTCCTACATTAACAAATTTCAGAAAGAACAAAATCCTTGGGTCTTACAAAACTTGGTCTATACAGTTGCTGGATAAAGTAATTAGAGCTAACAGAGGAATAAGCATTCCCACACAAATGCCAGTCAGCAAGTAGAAAGTAGTCTATAGAAATATGACAATATTTATCTTTAACTCCCCAAAATGAATTCATTGTCCTCTAAGGGGACAACTGCTAAAATTCTATCAATGGGTATATTTAACAGAGGCAAATGCTATGTTTAAAGGAATAAAATATGAACACTTCGGGGAAGGAGCTCTTTACAAGCTCAAAGAATTCTAACATGCAATTAACCTTTCCATAAATGCCACGAGTAAATTACAGACTCCTTGCTGATCAAAGACTGCCTGGCATATATCACATTTAAAAAAATTAATCATATGTCAGACAAACTGGTCAAAGAAATAGACCAAAATAATTAGATTTTAATCAAAATGAATTATTTTTTATGCTGAAATTAAGTTCCCAACATGAAAAGGCTAAAATAATTAAATGTCAACAGTAATATGCATCATGTCTTCTCTGAAAGTGAAACACGCCATGGTATTAGAGAAAGGAACCCTGCAAAAAGAGGCAGGGTCTCTCTATGCAGTCCTCGCTGGCCTGGAACCAGCTATACACACCAACAAGCTGCCCTTGAACTCAGAAGTCTGTGCACACCTGTGCCTCTAGGGTCCTGGGATTAAAGGCATGTGCCATGAGGCCCAGAAGAAAGATTGTTTTTGAAATGTTTTTATTCATTTGTCACTAAGGATTGATTGGGAGGCAATGATGTGAACTCAGTACCCTGTGTATGCCAGATAGGCCCTCTACCATTGAGCGCTACTCTAAATCCTTGGGATTTAAAAAACTTAATCTGGTAGCACTTCCCAACTTCAGTTTTAATTTTGTACATTAAATTCAGAAATAGATATTTATAGTCTTATCAGGACACTGTATCAAATCACTAACTAGTAGCAGGTAGAAAAAAAGAGAACATTTATGATACCTAAATTGACTTTGTTTTAGATGATGTGCTATATTACCTTTCAAAGTGATCCTCTGATTTAAGTTATTATAGCTTCTTACCTTGTACAAATGCAAGAATCTGCTCATATTGTTCCTTAGCCTGACTTTCTTTTACCAGATCAATTTTATTCTGTAAGATCAAAATATGCTTGAGTTTCATGATTTCTATGGCAGCAAGGTGTTCAGAAGTCTGAGGCTGAGGGCATGATTCATTACCAGCTAGTTGACAGAGGATAAAAAAAGATACATAAGATTAACTAGAAATATCTAGACCATGCAATTTCAAAAATAGAAGATTGTTGGTTGTGAGGAGCTGGAGGGAGTGCAATCGGGCAATGACTTCTTAACAGGCATCACTTTTGTGGTGATGAAATGCTGAATGTACTTCCATTCACTGAGTTGTCCCCTTTAAGTAATAAATGGAAAGCTTTATATTATGCACAAATTCTACCAACTTTGCTTTCACCCTTTATCTGCGCTTACTACAACCTCCCATTCTCGGTTCTAAGCAAGAAGTTTCCAATGAACAAATCTGGCTTCAAGAGCTCTTTTGTTTAGGCCTTCTAGCTCAGTCTAGTCTAGGTATGTTCTGGCACAGTCAAGCTCCTAGGAGGCTCAACCTCCTGAGATTAAGGTTATTCCTTAACCAAGAAGAGCACTGTGAAGACAAGCAACAGTGCTCACCATGCTAGCCATCACTTTGCCCAGCCTGTTCATGTGTCCTGTACTATATCCTCTCGCATGCCTAAAAGCACCATATCCATACCTATCAAATCTCTTATTAGCTCACATAAGGAGGCACAACTAACTTTGGAAACAGCCATGTTGTACTACATCACGGCAATTACTGTGAATAACAATCACACCTCTACATGAAGGGACAACACACAACATACATATATGCCTTTTTGGATATTGTCCGACTTCTCAGAAGCCATAACCCCAGGACTCTTTTGCTGAGTATTTTGGCTGTAGAAGGAAATGTCATTCTGGATGACACATTCCTAGTAATGCCTCACTTAGATAATGGACATAGCCTCCAAAGGATTTAGTTCTTCCTCACATAGTCTACCCAAATTAGTTCTTTATTGGTTTGTCCAGATCAGTTCTGATGATATTACCTATCAACAGAAGAGCTGCATCCATCACTGCTGCGCCGTTCAGCATTGTAGCCATCAAAATATCATGGCCAGGACAGTCAACAAAGGAAACACGCCTAACAGTTGAGAAACAACAATCAGCCTTAAAACCAATCAAAACTAAAAGCAAGGCCAGGTGGTGGTGGCGCACACCTTTACTCCCAGCTCACAACTGTCTGGAACACACAGTGAATCCGGCACCTTCCCACAGAGACACATGCAGCAAAACACCAACGCACACACACAAATTAAATAAATAAATAAATAAATGCCAGGTGTTGGTGGCACACACCTTTAATCCCCGCACTAGGGAGACAGAAGTAAGAGGATCTTTGTGAATTTGAGGCCAATTTGGTCTACAGAGCAAGTTCCAGGGCTGGTTCCATAACTCCTAGGAAACCCTGTCTCACAAACAACAACAAAAACCACCACCACCACCAGCAACAACAAAATGATCACATTAAAGTATTTATCCTGATTATTGAGATTTCTTGACTTCTCCTCCATCTTAAATTTTGGGCCTGGGATGAAGATATGACTCTACCCCAATCTAAAATGGTCTTATGGACTTGCAATCCCCAAAGACATTAGTAACCAGATACCAGCACCCTCTGGTAAAGGACCAACATGTGTGATCATATTCAGAAAACTGTTGGGAAGCTCAGTGGTGGTGGTGCATGCCTTTAATCCCAGCACTCGGGAGGCACAGGCAGGCGGATCTCTGTGAGTTTGAGGCCAGCCTGGTCAATAAGAGAGTTCCAGGACAGGCTCCAAAAAGCTACAGAGAAACCCTGTCTCGAAAAACCAAAAAAGAAAGAAAAAAAAACAGTTTGGAAACGAGTCTATTTATTTTAAAGAAGTAATTTCAAAACTGGCTTCATTCTTTCTAATCTAGCAAACAAATGACACTGTTGAAATTCAGTAAGCTGTATTTTCTCTCCCTTCCTTTTTTGCTTGTGCAATACTTGCCTTAAAAAAAAAAGAATTAAAAAAAATTTATTTTTATTTTACGTGAGTAAGTGTTATTTCTGGTACCCCCAGAGGCCAGGAGAGGGTGTGGGATTTCCTGGAAGAGGTGTTGGAGATGGCTGTGAGCCACCAAGTAGATGCTGGGAATTGAACCTGGGTCCTCTGCAAGAGCAGCCAGTGCATTCAACAGCTGAACCCTCTCCAGCTCCCTCATGCAACTTTTCAGTTTGTAGAACTTTTTTCTAAGTATTTAAAATTAATTGAAAAAAATATTTCAATTGTCATCATTACATAAAATAACATGAAATAATAGAAAAACAATGAAACCATTCTGCAATTAAGTTTATAAAAGCACAAAACGGAGATTTAAAAAGCATAAAGTACCTTTTAACATAAAAGTTACCTGACTAATTTGAAGTTCCCTTTGGTCCCAGGAATGTCTGTGGGAAACTCATCCGGTGTACTACTGCCACATGACCTGTAACATTCTGGTCTAGGACAACTTGGGTCATCAAGTTTATAAATCTAAAAGTTTCAATGTAAAAGAGAAAAGAAAACTGGATTTGTTACCTATGCAACAACCAAAGTTAAATGGTTTCTAGTTTCATGGTCCATAGATCACCTTGGCATTGGCATATCCAAGCTTGATGGTAATGTTTCTTTCTAGTTCATTTTTGAATCTGACGGTGTGCACTCCAGAAATAGCCTTTACTACAGTGGACTTCCCATGAGCTACATGGCCAATTGTACCTATTGACAAAGCACAACAAAATTACCTTCTGCACGCAAGTACAAACATTTCTTCAAATAGCACTGAGTAGAAAACAAAAAAAAAAACCCCGGCCAGGCGGTGGGGGCACATACCTTTAATCCCAGCACTCAGGAGGCAGAGGCAGGCGGATCTCTGTGGGTTTGAGGCCAGCCTGGTTTACAAAGTTAGTTCCAGGACAGCTAGGCTAACAACAAGAAACCCTGTCTTGGGGGGAGGGAGGAAGGAAACCAGAAAACTAAAAACGGTAACCATAGATATCAAAGTAAAACCAACAGTGATAGAGCTAGTGACATGGCTCAGCAGGTAAAAGCACTTGTCACAAAAGCCCCAAGGCCTGAGTCACCAGAATGGAGAGAAGTAGCTCCTGAAAGTTCTCCTGACTTCCACACATGTGCATGGGGACACGGACACACACAGATACACACACACACACTAATAATAATCACAATGGAGCCAGGCGATGGTGGCGCACGCCTTTAATCCCAGCACTCGGGAGGCAGAGGCAGGAGGATCTCTGTGAGTTCGAGACCAGCCTGGTCTACAGAGCTAGTTCCAGGACAGGAACCAAAACCACAGAGAAACCCTGTCTCGAAAAAACAAAACAAACAAACAAAAAAAATCACAATGGAAATAAAACTGTTTAACGAGAATTCAATTTTTCCCTATCTGCTCTTTCCTATTATAAATTTCTTCTCAGACTAATTTTAGTATATGTACTTGAGAGGAAGAAACAGGGTGGACAGTTTGAGGCTAGCCTGGACAATGTAGGAAGACCCTGCTATAAAACTTTAAGAAAGAAAAATACTCAAAATCTTGCTTATCAAGAGCCAGGGGCATGGTGGATCTCTGAGTTCAAGGCCTGCCTGGTCTACAGAGAGTTCCAAGACAGCCAGGGCTATAAAGAGAAACCCTGTCTCAAAAAACAAAACAAAAAAATCTTAACTATCAAGAAACATTGAAGCTTACCCAGTTAATATGACAAACTCCTGCACAACAAAAAAAGAACACACTCATAATCATAGTAATTCAGAAGTCTGAGGCAAGGGGATTGCCTTGAGTTAAGAGGTCAGCTTGGGCTATACAGTGACTACCAAGCTAGCCAGGGTTGCATAGCAAGTGTTAATCCCAATGGCGAGAATTAAACCACTACCACACTTGAGCCAAATTCAAAGCAAGCTTGCCTCTTATTGGGGTGCATCCAAGAGCTGGCCAGCAACTGCTCCAAAGTTGGTTAGAGAGCAGTCCTGCCAGGCGGTGGTGGCACATACCTTTAATCCCAGCACTTGGGAGACAGAAGCAGGTGGATCTGTGAGTTTGAAGTCAGCCTAGTCTACAAGAGCTAGTTCCAGGACAGCAAGGACTGTTACACAGAGAAAACCTGTCTCAAAAAAACCAAAAAAAGAACAGCCACGAATCCTCTTTTAAGGAGCAAAAATCCCGGAGTAGTTTTACAAAAGGGAGATAATGGGGCAGTAAGGAAATACAAATAAATAAATAAAAAATAAAAAAATTTAAAAAACCATGTGGTCACCCACCATGAGATTAGGAGGGGTCAAGGAGGGTCTGGATGGGTCAGGGTATTCTCAAAATAAATCAAGGCCATGGGTTGGGGAAGGTTAGGTTCTAGGAAACAGAGCTACAAAACTCTCACAGTGAACAGAAAGTTATTTTTAAAAACACATAATGGCTCCTGCCTTTAAAACAGAGTCAGGCAGGTTCCTCACAAGTCTGACTCCAAACTAAAAAAAAAAAGGAAAAAACCAGACCACACCACATTTATACTCAAGCAATATGCCTCAACAGTTCTAGGTGCCAATTGGGGGGGGGGAATTCTTCTTAATTATAGCCTATATATCAAATAAAACTTCTATAAACTGTCCTTGTATGACAACGTATTTTCACTTCAAACTTGTACTACCGTATGATTACACACTGCTGAGTACTAGTTTACTGTCGTAAACTTTTCATACATATATCTCCAAAAAAAAATGAAGTAACCCTTTGTTCACAAGGGGTCCACAGCTTTCTTTGTGTTACTGTCCTACTCAGGCCAACCTCCAAGGAAATGCCCACATTCTTCAAGAAACTTCAGAAAAGAAGACATTAAAATTACTTTTAAGTCAAGTGTCCGAGCTATCTTACCAATATTAATTGTAGCTTGTCTGCTGATAACTTCATGTGAAAGTGGTGTCAACTTGGTGACGTCCTGCAATGGAACAGTTCAAAACACAAAATCAATATAAACTAGAAAATCTTCCTTGACTTGATAGTCCCCAGACCTAACTCTGTCCTGTATAAGCAGCACTTTTCTCCTGCTGAAGTGCTTTGTCCCTTAATGGCTAAGATTGGGAACCTTAGGAGCCCTTCACTGTCGCAAGACAACACCGTTCACTAAGAGAGGTCTGGAGATAAGAGGCCATCTAATCCTGGGGCCTCAGCAAGTCCTCAAGGGTCCAGCACAGTGGGCAGTGTAATCCGGTTTCCAACTCTTTACAGACTTAATGACAATCTCGTGTAGGCCTCCAGCTTGATAGGTAGCCAAAAATAATCTTTAACTTCTGATCTTCCTATTGGAATCTCTTAAGTACTAGGAATTACTAGCGTGCGCTTATGCACTTCTGGAGATGGAACTCCGGGATTGGCGCCTGCTAAGTATGAACTCTACACAGGGAGATGCAACCCCATACTCCTTAATTATATTTATCATCAAAGCTTAGCCACACACTCTAGGAGTTCCAAGTCTCACAATCGTTCACCAGTTTGGGGACTAGGCAAGGTACTGGCGGCGGAAATGGCACGCCTTAGCCTTAGAGGGTCCAGCCTTAGGATGGCTCCTCTCTCCCGCGCTCCAGACACAAGGGCGGTGTCTCTTCGCCACGCCCTCCGAGAGTCCATGACCTCCCCCGAGCTCAGGGTGCATTCCCGCCGCAAATCGAGAACTCACCAATGTGGCGAGATCCTGTCGGGAAAGATGTGGCTGCCCGAGAGTCACTCCAACCTCACCCCCAGCCATCTTGCTCAGAGAGGAAGGAAACTGTTCGGCAACAGCCTGATTTAACGCAGGTCCCCTTGGGCGGAGCGAAGAAGGAGCAGCGGGAAGGTGGACTACGGCCCAGACCTGGTAAAAAAGATGGCAAATGCAGCACTGATCTCACTGCTTGGACTTTTCTGTTTGAATTTGCACAGGAACTACCCGCACCCTTACTCACAAACACGATACAATGTTTTGGAATGTATTCCTTGCAGTCCTGTTAGATTTTTTTGTGCAGGCAAAACTGAGGACAGCTCCAGGTTAGCGCACCTCCTGCTCCCCCCCTCCTTGAGGGGAGGGTTATTCGTGCGACACAGCGCGCTGGATAGAGAAGCCATTTCCGTTTCCTTTTGGTGCCGGGCGGAAGAATTTCGCGGCATCTGGGTTTCTCGCCTGTGCTGTAAAGTCAGAAAGTGGAAATTTCTCTTTTATTTTATTTCATTAATTTATTCACTCGTTTTTTCCTATTTCTGTAACCTAATAAAGGAATATCAGCTTGGAATCCTCTTCCGCCTTGCTGGGGCTCTGGGTCCAGAGGATGACACCGCGTGGTGAGCTCGCCACGCTCAAGCCTCGTGGTCCCTAGGGAACTCGGACAGAGCGCCCTCGCGCGGAGGCCTGGGGCTCAGGGGCGTACCGTTGGAGGGAAAAAGTCCCTCCCTTGTTCCTTGGGAGAAGTTTCTAGGGATGGTGAGGTGATGTTAGTCTCATCCGCATAAATTTAGCTTCTGGAAGCCAGCTGTCAAAAGAGCGTCCGCACCTTTTTTTTTTTTAAGCTGAACCTAGGAAACCCTCTTTTTTTGCATCTGTATTTAAAATTTTAAATATCTTCGAGATCTTACTTTCATCGTCTGTTTAAAAAGAAATTATATTTTCTGTGAATGCTGGCGCCCACGTAATCTCTGCACTCGGGGAGGCAGAATCAGGAATTTATGAGCTCGAGGCCAACCTGTGTCATGTACAGAGACCCTGTCTTAAAAAAGGGAGGTGGGGGTGGGGTTAAGAACATAGTTTTGGCAGAAAGTGGTTTCCCTGGCATGTCTGATGCTCTAGGTTCACCACTAAAAAGAAAACGGTCTTTTAAAATTCTCTCATTGTTTTTCTTTTGAGACAGGCAGGCTCTTATATATCCCAGCTGGTCATGAACTTGCTTTGAGTCACAGGATGACCTCGAACTTCTGCCTCTCCTGCCTTCTCCTCCTCAATACTGTGATTACAGACTTTGATGATGTGCCTGGTTCATTGGGTTTTGGGGATTGAACTGAGAACCTCATCCATGCTGGGTAAGCATTCTATTAACTGAGCTACACCCCCCAGCCCCATCTTGTTTTTTTTGTTTTTTGTTTTTTTCGAGACAGAGTTTCTCTGTGTAGCTTTGGAGCTTGTCCTGGAACTCGTAGACCAGGCTGGTCTCGAACTCACAGAGACCCACCTGTCTCTGCCTCCCAAGTGCTGGGATTAAAGGCGTGTATCACCACTGTTATGGATTTGCTGCAGGTTGCTGTGGGGTCGAGACTACAGGGCAGGTCCACAAACTAAAGTGGCGGCTGGCTGGTCCTGGTGAGCAGTGTGGGCAGGCGGTGGGTGGGAGGCACAGATGCTACGAGTCTCCAGGACTGCTGGGGACTCAAAAGCAGCCAGGCCCAGAGACCACATGGCTGGGAAGGTGGCTGGTCTTCCGGCAACAACAGATAGGCAGCGGGTGGTAGACACAGAGATAGGCACATCGTGTAGAGTAAAGTTGGAAATTTATTAGGTGGGTTATTTAGGGAAAGGAAAAAGGGGGAAGGAGGGAAGAGAGAGGAGAAGAGTAGAGAGGGACAGAGAAGGGGGAGTGGAGGCATGGGAGAGAGGGACAGGAAGGAGAACTCAGGCTGCAAGCAGAAAGGAAGACCAGCCGGCCTCAGGGGATGGGGGAGGGAGTGGGCGTGGCTTGTCTCTTAAAGAGACAGAACAGCCTTTACTACTACCGCCCAGCTCCCATTTTGCCATCTTGCATTCTGAACAAGTTTCTGTTTATAAACTCACCCTCCCTTATCTTTTTCCTTTTTTTTTTAGTCAGTGGCTATTTGTAACCCCAAATAACTTATTTTTTTTCTTTTTGGTTTTGGTTTTTCGAGACGTTTCTCTGTGTCGCTTTGGAGCTGTCCTGGAACTCGCTCTGTAGACCAGGCTGACCTCGAACTCACAGAGATCCTGCCCTGCCTCCCGAGTTCTGGGATTAAAGACGTGCGCCACCACCTCTCGGCCCAAATAAATTTTTTTAAGATTATTTATTTTGTTTATAGATCTGCCTGCACATTTGCCTAAATGCCAAAAGAGGGCACCAGATCTCATTATAGCCTATATGGTTGGAGAGATGGGTTAGCAGTTAAGAGCACTGGCTGCTCTTCCAGAGGTCCTGAGTTCAATTTCCAGCAACCATGCGGTGGCTCACAGCCATCTATAATAAGATATGGTGCCCTCTTCTGGCCTGCAGGCACACATGCAGGTAGAACTCTATATACATAATAAATAAATAAATCTTAAAGAGAGAAAAGGAGGAGGGAAGGAAGCACCACAGGGCAACCAGGCATGGTGCTGCATGCCTTTAATTCTAGCACTTGGACCATGCAGTTGAAAGCCTTTCTTGGTTAAGTAGAATTTGAGGGCAGCCTGGGCCACATGTAACCTGTCTCAAAAAGACCAAGCATGATGATTAAGTGTGAAAGCTCGGGGTAGAGTGCTCTCCTGGCATGCATGAAGCCCTGGATTCATTTCCCCATGACAGCTGTGGTGACACTCCCCTTAAACCCAGCACTCAGGAGGCAGAAACAGGGAGATCTCTGAGTTCCAGATCCTGTCTCAAAAAAAAAAAAAACAACCCAACCACAATCCTAGCACTCAGGAAGCAGGGGCAGACAAATCTCTGTGAGTTTGAGTCCAGCCTGGTCTACAGAGTTAGTTCTAAGCCAGCCAAGGCTAAACACAGAGATCCTGTCTCAAAACAGCAAAACAAACAACAACCAAACAGCAGAGCATAACATCTATTAATAAAATATTAAAACCCTTATTAAAAGGATGAAGCAGGCTGGGTGGTGGCGGCTCACACCTCTAATCTCAGAGCTCCCAGGGAGAAGCAGGCAGATCTCTATGAGTTCGAGGCCTGGTCTTCTGAGTGAGCTCCAGGATAGCTGAGGTTACCCAGGGGAACACTGTCTCGAAAACAAAAGGAAAAAAGAAGGCTGAAACAGGAGCACCACAGTCTTGAAATGAAATGTCCCCAACTAAACACTATTTTTGTTTTATGTGTATGGATGATTTTTCCCGCATGACCTTCTTACTACGTGCAAACCCAGTACCAGTGTTGTACAGAAGAGAGGGGGTCAGATCCCTTGAAACTGGAGTTTCAGTTGTATGCCACACCAGCCACATGGGTGGGAAACCTGGGTCCTCTTCAAGAGCAGTAAGTGTTCTCAACTACTGAATTATCTATCACTCTGGCCCCACGGTTTTAATTTGCATTTTTCCTGGTTTTTCGAGACAGGGTTTCTCTGTAGCTTTAGAGCCTGACCTGGAACTAGCTCCTGTAGACCAGGCTGGTCTTGAACTCACAGAGATCCGCCTGCCCCTGCCTCCTGAGTGCTGGGATTAAAGGTGTGTGCCACCACCACCCGGCCGTCATCACACTTATATAGCAAGTACTTTTTACCGCTGGGCCATCTCCCCACCTTGGATCCTAACTTTTAATGTTTGTATATATACTTGTGAGTGTGGGTATAGGTCATGAAACTAGAAAAGAAACCACAAGGGAGAGAAAAGAGCTATTGAGGAAGGGAAGAGGAAAATAGGACCCATGTGGCATGCAAGTGAAAAAAGAAGCCACAGAGATGGAAGGGTACAAGGGACAAGGGCAGTGGATGGGGAAGAAGAGCAGGGAGGAGGATCAATAAGAGCAAAATATGTTTGAAAATACCATAATGGGCCTGTAAGATGGCTCAGCTGGTAAAGGAGCTTGCTGCCAAGCCTGACCACCTGAGTTCAATCCTCAGATCCCACACAGTAGAAGGAAAGAACTGACTCGCCCCAAGTTGTCCTTTGACCCCCCCCCACAGGCACACACAGACACATGCATGCAAACACACACTAAATACATACATGCATGCATACATACATACATACATACATACATAAACTAGAGCTGGAGAGATGAATTAGTAGTTAAGAGTACTTGCTGTTCTTCAAGAGGACCTGAGTTCAGTTCCAAGCACTCAAGTTGGGTGGTTCTCCCAAAAGTCCCATGTATACCTCCTGCTTAGCTATTGGTCAATTAGCTTTTTACCACAGAAATCACAGTAAATACATCTTCACACAGTGTATAAATATCCCACAACAGATCTCTATGAATTCCAGGCCAACCTGATCTATGAGTTCCAGGCTAGCCAAGGCCCCATGGTGAGACCTTGTCTTGGGCTGAGGATGTAGTTCAGTGGTAGAATGTGTGGTTAGTATGCCCCAAGGTTGTGGGTTTGATCTCTGGTGCCACATTTTTTGACACAGTTTTTTAAAGCATCCACATTGGCTAGAATCAGCCTATGAGAGAGAACATTTGAGTAAGTGTGCAATATAGTAGTGTTAACTATATACATATTGTTGTGCAACTGATTGATGAAACCTTTGCTTTTCCATCCTTCAAAACAGGAACTTTATACCCACGATTACAGGGCTTTCTTGTTTTCTGAGACAGGCTTTTGCTATGCTGTCCAGATTGGCCTGGAATTTGTTGTGCAGTCCAGCGTGGCCTTGGACTCGTGACCTTCTACCTCAGCCTCCCTAGGGCTGGAATTACAGGTACGTGCTCTCTCTCACACACAGCTTGCCTAGCTTTTTCCTCTTCCTCTCCTTTGTCTCTTCTCCCTCTTTCTCTAGGCTAGTGACTTAACCTAGAGCCTCGTGAGTGGCCAAGCACTCACTGGACCGCTAAGCTACACAGCCTCGGCCTGGTTGAGACTGGCTTGAATCTGTATATCAACTTG